TTGACCATTGCTGAAAACCTCCCTTGAAGTTTGGTAATTGTAATCACCTCTTTTAAACTTTAACATAGTTGCAAGTAGAACCTCTCTTATAATCCTCTAACAAGAGGCATGAAAATGTCCAAAATAACCATGTAGTTACTTTGACTAAAATGTTTATTTTCCATGTTTTTCCTTCATATCAATCACTACTCCAAACCCTTCCAATCTTTTTTGAAATTGATTTATTTTATATATTTTCCTTTCATATGAAACCCTCAAAAATAACTACATGGGTATTTTGGATATTTGTGTGCCTCTTGTTAGAGAATTCTAAGAGGGGGGGGGGGGGGGGTCTACTTGCATCTGTATTAGAAAATTCAAGAGAGGCAATTGCAATTACCAAACTTCAGGGGAGATTTCAGAAATGGTTAGAAACTTTAGGGGAGGTTTCAGTAATTTACCTTTTTCTAAAAAATTAACAAAAAAACGAAACAATTCTTCCATCCAAGTGGTGGGTAAGCGAATTCAACCATCTGGGCCAATTCAGTGAATCCATGATGTCATAGTTGAATAAAAAATGTAGAAAATGGGTCATTTCTCTAATATTTTATATTAATCATATTAAAGAAAAAAGTGTTAGAAAAAAATTGTTTTTATTGATAATGAAAATGAAAAACAAATTTTAAAACCAACAAAAAAATGAAATTGATTTCCTATTTGGTCTACGTCAACAATTCAACTTTTAGGTCAAACGTGTCAATATTTGATAACATAATTAAATAATAAAAATTAAAAACATGATAAAAATGAAAAATAAATACATTAATTTTTACAAAATAAAAATCATTTGGGCGCATCTCTAATATTGTATATTCATCATATTAAACAAAAACAAGTGTCATAAATAAGAATAATTTTTATACACAGAGAAATATAAAAAATATAAAAAATGTAATTCGAACTATTATTTTTCACCTCATTCAAATCGCTCTCATTAAGTCATATATTTGAGATACTAACACCCATTCTCTCTCATTAAATTATATATTTAAGATATTTCCTCACCAATAAATTATGTTATTAGATATATATCCAATACTTTTAACAATATAAATCTCTTTTTTTTTTTAAAATTGAACCAATAAATGAATTTGTCCTTTTGTCTAAGTGATGGATAAGGTCAACCATCTGGGTCAAATGAGTCAAGCCATGAATGTCATAATTAAATAATAAAAATTAGACAAAAATAATAACACAAAAAATACAAAATATTTATAGAAAACATACGAGACATCTCTAATGTAGAATTATTTTATATACATAGAAACACATACAAAACTTAAAATAATTTGGTTGTATATTACTATTTTCATCATCTAAAATTATCATATACAAAACACGCACAAATTTAATGTAGAATTAAAGTTACGACATACTTATCAAATGGGGGATTTGTTTAATTGTCAATAAACTAATGATTTACATAAGAAATTAACAAATGCCATGAAACCAGACATAACCCTCAGATAGGACCTCCTTATATTATAGAAAGACACTTTACACATGTAGAGATACCAATTTATTCCCATTATTCCTACCCATTACAAGGTGGTTGTGATCTCTTCTCATATAAAAATTACTTTACACATGTAGGTTATTTAAGACACCTAAATCTTCCCGCTATTACTACCCTTTTCAAATTCCTTGAATCATTTTTTGGGATTTTATGGGCAAACTCGGAGCTGCTGCCACAGCAATTAATACATATGAGAGAGATTTATTTTTAAGGCTATGCAGATAAACCCTTTGAGGTGATTGTGATCTAATATGGGATGATGGTGGTTTATAATTAACTTGTTTAGTGGAGGGACCGAAAGTGGGGTTTATTTTGTTGGGTTTGGCTGTTCAGTGCAGATTAGTGGAGCACTCATTGACTATGTATATATGCTGTTTGAAATTTGAAGGGCTGGTGGTGACTGGTGAGTGATAGTTCCAACAGCGATCATGCATGTCAACATTTACCAAATGTTACACCTTAAACCATAGCTGATACACAATTAATTCTCATTTTTTAAATGTATAATCAGAGTGAGAAGGGCTTTGTCTTCTTTCTCAACCACACAAATAACTCCTCTGACTATTAATAAAAAGTTCATTTGATATGATTACCTTTTTTAAATAATAATAAATAATAAATTAGTAATATAAACCACCCAGCCTCAAATAGATAACTTTAGAGAACCATAAATTATTCCTGTGGTGTTGGTTTGTTCAGAATATTATTAGAGTCGATGGATTCGTTGGTTCTTAGGAATGGCAATGGAGCAGCATCATATTCTTCGTTTCTAACTCCAATTTAGATATAAATGTTCGTCCCCAACCCTGATCCCTAATAGAATTGTCCTCTATTCCTGATCCGCGATGAGGTGGATTTGCCACGGAGACCCAAATCTTCGAATTTTTTAATTAATAGATTTTTTTAAAGAGTGAATTTATTTAAAATAAAAAAAAAATTAATATATATATTAGATTTGTTTTACATGCTTTATGTTCTTCTTCCTCTTCCTCCTCATCATCAATTAAGCCTTATCCCAAGTATATGGGTTGGCTACATGAATCCTATTTCACTATTATGTCATATTCGTTTTTAAATTTTTTGACTTAAATCATTTCTTTTTTATCTACCACCAGCCTTTTAACCCCTTTAATTATGTTTAGACCCTTTAGTAGGATACAAATGAATCAAATTGGATTTGAATCAGGGTATATTTGAATCTAATCCGACTTGGTTCATATCGGATCTGATAGGACTCTATTTGAATTCAAATCCTATTGGTAAGTCAGATCTTCGGATCTGATCCGACCCGATTTGTTTTTTTTTTAAACTAATAAATTATTAAAAGAAAAATAAAATAGACTAATTTAAATAAAGTAAAAAAAACAAGTATTTTTTAATTATTTTCATCATATATATACATGTTTTTTTATAAAAATTAAATAATATAACAAATTTATAAAAAATAATTTAAAATATATTTATAAATAAATAACATATATATGTATTATATATATATATATATATTTATATTTATAAGTATATAATATATATCGGATAGAGGTGGTCCGAATCCGATCTGATTTCTAATCGGGTCTTATTATCCGACCAGACCTGAAGATCCGAACACTAATGATCCAAATTCGATAAAGTAGATCCCGATCCGATCCATTTGCACACCTACCCTTCAGTGGATGGATAAATTATAGTTTATAGATATAAGTTGGCAACCGACTTCAAACTTTTAAATGGAACCCTCCTTTACCCTAGTGAACGTGGGATTCAATTCGAATCCTCCACTGCAACCAACTAGACTTAGCCATTTCGTACCTTCATAGACTTCCAAAGACTTCCAAAGACTTCCAACATTTATAATAAAATGACATCTCATTTCAGGTTGAATATAAGCCAATGTATTTGTAAACACCATGGATTTGGAACGTTAGATCAACTCGGAAAATCTAAGGGGAGTGGAAGGTAAACCGAGAATTAGTCGGACTCCCGGAAGGGGGTAGTTCACTGAACGATGGTGATTAGAGAGAGAGAGAGAGATGAGGATTTGGGTTCTGGATCCCCATTTTCGAACATGGACCCCCATTTATCAATTGGTTTCTCCTCTCAAGGGATTATTCAGGGACCTTCTAATAGTTTCTGGGTTAGTTATTAGACCAGACGGACCGAGTGGATTTAGCCAATTTATGGCAGGTTGCGACTCTATGCTCTTACAATATTATTGCTGATCTGTTCATGGGACCGGCCTCGGGCTTGACTTGACACAGTTTCATGGTCAGTCTTTGGGCTCGGCCATTCAAGTTTTGGCAAAAGTCAAATCCAAACCTGGCCCATGTACTGATGATGAGGAAGCTTCATTTCTCCAAAAACATGATCTGGAGATGGGAGGCTCCTGTAAAAGTAGCTTTCTGGTTGTGGGTGACAGCTTTGGGGTCTGGGTAGGTGCCTAACAGCTGACAATTTGTGGAAGAGAGTAATGGAGGCAGAACCTAGCAGTTGTATTCTGTGCGGAAACAGTAGTTTGTGAGGAGTACATGGAGCATTTATTCCTGCTTTGTAGATTCAGTACTTGGGAAATATATAATGGATGAAAGTACTAAAGGTGCTTGGAGTTTAACTGTGTTTCCCAAGGGGCTGGTTAATTTGTGAGGAGAGGTAGGATTGTATGGAAGGTGGTGACAGGGGTAGTGGTGTGGTCAATTTGGATGCATGGAGAGAAATAGCAGGTTATTTCAAGGCAAATTTAGTTGAGAAGGGGAAGTTTTAAAGAGCTAGCATGTGGGAAATTGAAGGTTATACTCTTGGCTGGCCACACATAAGTCCACTTCTTTTTTTGAGCACAGCATTCTTCAACATTCTTTTTGTATAGTGGTTTTTTAATTGGCATATGTACAAACTGTTTTCTGTCTTGCCCAGTGCTTATTGGGCAGTGATGCATTCATGCACAGTTGATTAATGAAATACTCGAGAGAGAGAGAGAGAGAGATCAATAATTATGGGGTGAATTAATTGAAGTTTTCCTTCTTATCCTATTCTACAAGGACAGTAGGGAAAATAAATGGCGGTAGCTTTTGTTTGTGGGGTAGCAACAGCACTTAAAATACTAGGACAATGTGGTTCACATCCTCCATGTCCAACGCCTCCATAAAGAGGTGGTATCTATGGTCAATACATGTTCGTGCATGATTCCATTTTCCCTATTATCATGCTTGCTGCTATCCAATAATTCTAAATCGCTTTCAATTTTTTGTTAAAATACCCAAAAAATATGTTTGGAGGATAACCCAATTTTCAAAACAAATATAACTAGAACTTTACAGACATCCTATAATCTTTCTTATATTAATTTTATCAATTAATGGTAGTAGTGGAGGTAAGAGTTACGTAAACAATGCTTAAATCTTTGCCTATAAAAGGGGAATCCCAAGACAGCTAAGTTGTGACTTGGAGCACAGAAGAGAGAGCATATATACTTGGGTTTTTTCTCTTAGCTTTCTTCTTGCTCTCTAGCCTTTTTTTTTATTCCTATAGGGAATTGAAAAGGAAATATATGGTTTGTGCTAGTTTGTTTTATTAGCTGACCCTCATTCTTAAAAATATATCTACTAGGGTTTTATTAATCTTGAAAAAACTTTTGTTTGTTCATCTGATCAGGAGAATAAGATGAGTTTGTCAGTTGCAGACGCAGTGGACTACAAGGGGTTCCCTGCTGACAAGTCTAAAACTGGTGGTTGGGTGTCTGCTGCTCTTATACTGGGTTAGTTCACCCCTTGAACATTTCTTTCATTTTTTTCTATAGGACCTGTGCTCTTTTTCTTGTAACTCGCATATGCCCCCCTTTTCTTTTGGTTCATCCCTACTCTTCTGTAATATTTCTTCCCCATCAACAACTGTTGATGTAAATTCAGTGAGATACACTAAATCTTCCAGTTACAGCTTTATCATTTAATTTTTCCCTAAGCATCCATAGAGTTCAGTTTTTCATGCATGAGATTTAGCTTATTATTTGATTAGGCTACAGCTTTATTTCATCATTTACAATTTAACTTCGCATTCTACTTCTTTTCCATGCTTCATGTGTTCCTCCAATCTCCTGTATTCAACACAAGAAGTAGCTCATCTTCAAAGAAAGGAGAGAGGATACATGTGACAGTTCAGTTTACCAAAAGTTTCAAATTAAAAAAATAATGAGAAGTGCAAACAGGGACATGAGTTTTTAAATCCGGGTCATTCATGCTTCATGTGTTCCTCCAATCTCTGTTTCTTTTTTTTTTTTATTGTATTCCTACTATATGATGAAATTAATGGGTATAGATTGATGATAATTAATTAATCCGGGTCATGCATGTGAGCTACAAATAAAATTCTCTCTCCTCTTCAGCTGTTCTCTGTTCACCCGAGTCGGAATCTGCACTTGCTTGGGCTGAACAAAACCCAATATAAATCTGTAAAGGGACACCTGTAATGCAAATGCACGACAAATTCTTTTGAAGCCAAACGCACGAAAAATTCTTTTGTGAAAATCTTTTTCTAAACCAAATTATTCTTCTTAAATCAAAGACACATGAAACATATTTTCAGCTGTATAATAATTTATTTATTCCAGAACTGAAGGAAAAGCAACTTTCTGGGTTCAAAGAGATTATTTTCTTTTGGTGATTTGACATGATGTTTCATAAAGCTAACATTCAATATTCACAAATAGAAAAACAGCACTTTGAAGGGTTTATAGGAGATTAGACCGTCTATATATACCTTTTTTTTCTGTTTTTTTTTGGCATTACACACATCATTGGCTACAATTACGCGCATTTGATCCTAGGCTTATTTTGGCTGGAGCCGAACTGATAATCTCAACTACTGGATTCAATGTTTTAAAAACTGATCTGGAGGTTGAACCATTTTTGTCTTTGAGTCGTGAGTCACTGGTTCGATCGGCTGGGTCGAATGATTCAGACTGTGCTATGTCATCGTATATATATGTGTATATAAATATATATTTTAGCAATAAATAATGTATGAATATGTTTTAAATATTTTATATGTATTATTTTATATTTAATTTATGTTTTTTAATTCAGTTTTTTATTTTTCTTTTTTTATAAAAAATATTAAAAATTGCAATTTAAGGCCCAAAAAGGGTTTTTTTCATGAAAATAGCAGGACAAGGCACCTACAATGCCTTGGGACACAGATCTCAAAAAGTTACCCAAAATAAAAAAAAAATAAAAAAAAATCACCCCAATCAGACATTGGAGTGCAAAGTTATTGCCTCTGAAAGTTTTATATGCATTGAGTATGCAACCCACGACTCGGTCACTGGGTCGAATTGATCGGGTCAAACGGTTCTTGACCAAATTAATAGTTTTTGACCATCTAGCGGGTCTTGACTAAACCAAACCCGGAATTCTGGCCGAATGACCGTTCAAACAGTTTGACCAACCGGGTCAAACAGCAGGTTAAAAACATTGAGTGAACCATTGATAAAGGTGGATGTACCCTGCAGTAATGCCCATGTCAGCCTTCTGCAATTTAATACATGAAAGCACGTTTTTATTGGTTTCAAAAGCAGGAAACAAACAAACAAACAAGAAAAAAAAAAAAAAACATGAGGCATTTTCTAGAACCAAGAAAAGCAAAAACATTTATGCTTGCAAACACCCCCTAATTGGTTTAGTTGAATATATAGAACTGGCACTTAAAATATTCCAAAAAAAATGTTGACAACAATTTTTTTTTTCAGGGATTGAAATATGCGAGCGACTATCAACAATGGGAATAGCAGTGAACCTTGTCACATACTTGGGAGGAACAATGCATCTTCCTAGTGCAACTTCAGCCAACACTGTAACAGACTTTATGGGCACTTCATTTCTCCTCTGTCTGCTAGGAGGCTTCCTTGCAGATTCTTTCTTAGGCAGATACAAGACTATTGCCATTTTTTCTGTAGTCCAAACCCTGGTATGTGTTGCAGTGATTCCACTTATTTCTTCTGATTCATATAGTCACAACAATTTGCAATTTTAGCTTGCTAAACCATATCGAGTATTGTTTTGGTATTTACCTTCATTACTTCGCTGGAATACTTTAGATGATCATGATGATGATGATAAATTAGGGGACTGGTTTGTTAGCAATGTCTACAAGACTTCCACAACTCCGCCCGCCTCCCTGCAATACTACATTGTCACGAAAATGTGAAGAAGCCAATGGGTTCCAAATGGGGATTCTTTACTTGTCTCTCTATCTAATTGCATTGGGGACTGGTGGCCTTAAATCAAGTGTTTCAGGATTTGGATCAGACCAGTTCGATGAGAAAGACAAAAAGGAAATGACCCAAATGACTTACTTCTTCAATAGGTTCTTCTTCTTCATCAGCATAGGAACTTTGACGGCTGTTACAGTGCTTGTCTATATACAAGATGAAGTGGGTAGAAGTTGGGCTTACGGAATTTGTTCAGTCTCCATGTTTGTTGCCATCTTGATATTTTTGTCAGGGACCAAGAGATACAGATACAAGAAAAGAATGGGAAGCCCCATAGTCCACATTCTGCAAGTCATAGTAGCAGCTACAACGAAGAGGAAGATTGAACTTCCCAAAAATGTTAGCTTATTGTATGAGGATTCTCCTGAGGCTACAAGAATCCAACACTCGGACCAGTTCTGGTGAGATACAGATGCACAATAGTAAAAAGTTTGAACCCTATTTTTGGAAAGTAAAACCACTTGAACAATGTAAGATTTATTCAAGTATTTAGTGGAAATTTTGCTATGACTCATTCTTGTCTTTTTTTTTTCGATTACAGTTGTTTGGACAAGGCTGCAATCATTCTAGAAGAAGACTACCAAAGAAATGTTTCCTCGACTCCAAACCCTTGGAAACTATGCTCGGTGACCAGAGTTGAAGAAGTGAAAATGATGATCAGGCTACTACCAGTTTGGGCGACGACGATCATATTCTGGACGACATATGCACAAATGATCACCTTCTCTGTAGAGCAAGCTTCAACCATGGAGAGATCCATTGGGCACTTTCAAATCCCAGCAGGCTCCCTCACAGTCTTCTTTGTGGGAGCCATATTGATTACCCTGGCAGTCTATGACTGTTTGATTATACGTCTCTGGAAGAAATGGAAAGGGAAACCAGGTAAAAATTTGATACACATGAAGCGATCACAAGAAGGATAATAACACTGAACTTAATTTGCTTTTACGTATCTCTGTTACAGGTTTCACCAGCCTACAGAGAATTGCTATTGGACTCGTCCTCTCAACAGTAGGAATGACAGCTGCATCACTAGCTGAGGTGAAACGTTTATCAGTCGCGAAAGATGTCGGTGGCACCACCTCGACTACTCTACCCTTGAGCGTTTTCCTGCTAGTCCCACAGTTTTTCCTTGTGGGTTCCGGAGAAGCGTTCATATACACAGGGCAGCTTGATTTCTTCATAACCCAGTCGCCGAAAGGGATGAAGACAATGAGCACCGGCTTATTCCTCTCAACTTTGTCACTCGGCTTCTTTGTCAGTAGCCTCTTGGTCTCGGTGGTGAAGAAGGTGACAGGGAGCAACGATGGGCAAGGATGGCTAGCTGATAACATCAACGATGGGAGACTCGATTGTTTCTATGGCCTTTTAGCTGTGTCAAGCTTCATTAATTTTTTGTTGTTTCTTCTTTGTACCGTCTGGTACAAGAAGCAAAAGCCTCAACGTTCTCTGCAGATAGAAATTGCTGCTAATGGTTCTTCCGCTGAGGAAATTTGTTAGTGCTCTAGTTTGGGTTCTTCTTTCAGTGCCTATGTATTAGCAGTGCTCTTTAGCTTGGCTTTAGGGATCATAATCTAGGATATGGGGTTTGCTTTGTTGTACAGTGGGTTATTGCTGATAAATTCTATGGATTTTGTTCTCTTAGCTTCTAATTAATTAATTTTGTGTCACTCGAAAGCTTCTTTCAGGTTCTTAATTTCTCTTTTCTTTTTCTCCAAGGGTAGGTAATCAATATAATAAAAAGAATATGAAATTGAAATTTATAGACACGATCGTGGGTCTCTATCTGACTGGAAAACATTGACTACTACCCTGTTGGCATGGAGTGCATTTGTCCTATCAAAGGCATTTTATACAGGTTTAAGGTTAGGATTTAGGGGTTTAAGGATTATGGCTCTAGGGTTTAGAATTTTGATTTTATGGTTTAAGGTTTAGAGAAGATTTAGGGGTTTAAGGATATAGACTTTAGGGTTTAAGAGTTTACACTCTAGACTATAGGGTTTAAGTTAAGGTTAAAACCTTAAAGGTTTAAGAGTTTAGGTTTCAGATTTAAATTTAAAATCAAGAAGCGGTAGGACACATGACCTTCAGTAGGGTAGGAGCCAAAGTATTCCTGATGACTGACTACCCATTATTTAATAATTAATTTAAATTCCACAATACCGATAGTTCAATGTAGCATTATATCAAGCTTAATTACAGTTAAGCAGTGTAATTGGTTTCGGTCTGATCATCCTGAGATTTATTTTCTTGTACGAAATTAACCCTTTTATCTTTTCTCTATCTCTCTCTCTCGCTCTCTCTATATATTAAAAAGATGTCTACCACTATCGGCAACTTTGGCTATATATTAAAACTTGAAAATCAACTTCAAGAAGGAATCTTTAACATTGGACTTAGACGTGCAAAAGCAAAACAATAAGACACCACTTTAACAGGTAATAGATCCGTTTGGTCATTGATCATCTCTATCAACTATCAGATTTCATAGTCCAATGACGATGATTGTTCATGGACGAGCATTTTCTGTGCTGATTGGGTCGTGACATTAGACCCACCGGCTTATTGAATTCAACTGTTCAATTTTGCTTTCACTGAAGGAGCAGGGCCATCGGCCAGTGGAGAAGGGTTCTTTCATGTTATCACATGAAGTTTAAGATGCTCTCAAACAGGGGTGAAGTTGCCATCTAATCTACTCTTAGAATAGATTTTTTCTTTTGGTATTCGGTGCCATGCATCATTAATAACTTCCCTTTGACCCATTCTTCCCCAAAGTGCTGTATAGTTGGGGATTCGATTCTGCGTCAGCACTGGAACAAACCAGCTAACACACACCAGTGAGCCAGCCCTTGGTTGGCTAATAAGCTTTTCTTTTTTCATTTTCTCAAGTCAGGGTTCTCTGAATCAAAATGTTGATTATTTTTAAATTAACTTTTTTTGGGAGTAAGTTTTAAGCAAAACATCTTAATGCATGTCAAGGAATCATTCAACCTAAAAGCTTAAGATGTTAGATAGAAAAAACTATATTGCCCGAAAAAGACATGATACTGAAAGAATTTTGACCAATCAAAACCCTATAGTGAATCTTGATAAATATCACTTTATTGGTTACCACTTTTATGATACCATTGATTAGTTAAAGTTTTAAATAGGTTTATATTCTCTAACATGCCCCCTTATGGGCTTGAAGCATGGACAAACACAAGTATATCCATATCTTGTGTTAAAATTTAGTTAATTGCAATGGGGCGGGTCGAATACCAAACCATTTGATTAGGCAGATTGTACTACCATGTCAAAAAATTATTCAAACTAAAAGCCTAAGCTGTTAGATAAGGTCATGGGAAGAATTTTATTCTCTAACAAAGCAATAAGCCAAGTAGAAAAGAGTAGAGGCAATATTGGTAATATACAAATTGGGGCATAGCTGGTATTAGAAAATAAGAATTAAGTATATATGTAAAATAAGTTTTTTTAAAAGGTAAAGTATTGTATTGGAAAAGAAACCAATTACATCAGCCCATTTACAATAAGAACTTGTACATTGGGGATTTACAAAAATATCTGAGAAATCAAATATGAGTTCATGTAAAATATTATCGGAACTCATATCATTGTAATTCATTATTCTAATTTTAAAAAACATGAGGTGGGCAATGTTTTCAAATTGTTGTTGATCTGGATGGTTGGACCATTTGGCCTAGGAATTATTCAAGCAACTGGTTCTGTTTTACCCTAAACCCAATTCTTGACCTAAAAGTATTGAATTGGTCAATGACCCATTGATCTGAGCAGTTGAATCATCGATTCATTCAACAGTTTATGGCTGTTTTGTATTTTTATTTATTTTTTATAAAAACGGGCCATCCATTCGAACTTGACCATCAACCCAGAAACAAGTGGATAAAATGGTTCCGATTTTGGATAATTTTTTTAAAACATTGGAGGTGGATACTTGCTACTGTTAAAACCCTTAGGTAAGGCATTTATAACCATACCACTTCTTATGCTACAAAATTATTGTAGCACAAGGCTAAAACAACAAAATAAAAAAAAACTTTAATGCATTGTAATGGCCCCACCTTGAATTAGATGAAGTGGTGTCCTTACGTAGCCACAACAATACATCTAAGGCCATTATATTCGGTTTTAGACCTGCGATATGACATTGTCATAGCAAAAGTGGATTTATTTGTAATTTACACAATAAATCGACTATGTCTGAGAACTAGAGGATACTGGGCCAATCACTATACATACACAATGTCAGACTGGTTCATAGGTTCCATGAATGTGGAAGAGAATCGCAAATGTATCTGTATTCCTCATAAGATTCTTTTTATTTATTTATTTAATAAGCTTCAAAAGTGGCAATCCCTTAACCTGAAATAAAAATTGTGATGGCTTTTTTATATTCCTAGTTGATTAATTGCTTGATTTGACAATATGGAAGAAACCCACTCCGACATTATAATCATAACTAGGTAGGAAAAAAATTTACACTGATTGAAGAGTATGCTTACTATTTTACTGGAATCCTATCGATGATCAGCATAACATGGAGTCCCCTAGTCCTCATCGCACACTACATTTCCTGTTGATAAGCTAAAATTTTCTATTCTTTCACTTTCAGAGTTGTAGTATTTTAAGACCAAAATGAAGAGGGTTTCATTATAATTTTACTGCAAAATATTCTCTAACTATAACTTTGTATTCATTCTTAAAAAAAAAAAAACCTAAGAACATATCGTCAAACATGACTGTCATGCGCATGGTTTTCGTAGGCCTTGACAAATTACACTTACATCATTCAATAAAAAGGATGGGCATTTTCATATGTTAGAGAGAGAATGAATGGAGGTGGGATCTGCTCCTCACACAAAACGCTTCACAACGACCTATCTTACGTATACATCCCACCATTTATTGAAAATATTTCTTATAAATAATAATAAAAAAGTACGGGAGATATTTTCAATACACAGTGGGATGTGCATGTAATTAAGACCGGTGTGAGGCACCATGTGTGAAGAGCAGATCCGGTGTTGAATGAAAGAAACAGACAAAATCATAATTTATATTAATGAATGAATATAGTGACCTCCAATAGTGAATCAGAGAAGAATATATAATTTAACATAGATAAACAAATCTAAAGTGCCACCGGATTGTGGCGATTAGAAGTTGATACTAGAACTCTAGAAGAGACTGCCTTCAAATTGCAATGAAAAGCTAATGATCTGGATGCATTTGTTTGCATCTCTGTGGAATTTGATAATCATATATTATAGCTTTTAAGTCATAATTACAGGGAAGACTTGAGGCTTTAGAGAGAACTTCTGTCAGGGCAGGGCAAGTTGGTGAACCTTGCATTAGGAATATCTCTCATGAAATAAATCATTTAAGTATGGAGATATTCCCAAGGTAAGGCTGTAAAGTCTGTTGGAATGCCCGGACTGAAGCCGGACTCCTTTAGAGATACTGTTTAGCTTTATTCTCTTATCAAATTAGACGTTGAACTGTCTTATGACACTTTGGTGCCATGTGAGATGTGTACCTTGATCGAGGAAGACGACCTACCGACCTACCAATCTGACGACCTGTGTGGTAGATTGACCTTATCCAGAGTAACTTGCCTATCGGTTCCAAGTCAAGCGGCAGCACGTTGCCCATCTAGCACAGATGACCCCGGTCTCCGTGCAACTGGGAGAGACTAGATGAGGATCACCGCCAACATAGAAGAAACGTGCTCCGAGTGTAATGGACCCATAAGACCAGCTGTTCCCAGTTATCTCAAACATGGAATTTGGACCCAACACTTATAAAAGGACCTCACTATTCTGCCAGAAGGTACGCACAATCTATGTAATTCACTCACTTATTGCTCTCTCAAGCTCTCTTTGCTTTCAACACTCTCATTGCTAACTTAAACATTGGAGTGCCCAGCCCGGGTTCAACACCTTGAGTACTCTGATCTTTTATATTTTGCAGTTCGATGACCAACCTCAATATACATCCATCCGAGCTGTCCTCAAGCAAGGAAATCAATAGATTTCTGCTACAACAATTGGCACCGCTTGTGAGAAATTGAAAGAAAATCCAATTCAGTCTCTCACCTTTTAGGATTTCAACATGTCAACCCCATCTCCTAAGAACAACAGCAACACCCAAGGGAGCAGAATCAAAATGATCGACTTGAAAAAGTCCCAACAATCTTGCCCAGATAGGATCTCTCGGCCCTGATTATGTCCATTATGTCACCCCCGTAGATCGAGCTCTTAGTGGTTCCTGTGGGAATTGACAGCTAGTGCAGTACATCTGTATAGGGGTGTCCGGTTCGGTTAACCGAACCAATTGTTATATCAAATAACCTGTAGAAATACAGAGACGCTTATGTATAGTGTTATTCAAAATTTCAACATTATGGGCCAGGATAATTATTCCAAGGCTTGTAAGTCATTTAATTAATATTTCAAGCATTCCTCCTACTTTAGCAGGGAGTCAAATATGCACCACAAAGAAATAATCTTTTTCCTTTCCCAGAAATAACTGTGAACTTTTCAAATGGGTACCGGATATACTCAATAATGTTAAGCCTAGGTCCTAATCTTTTTATCTTACAGTTATTCTTGTTAAAGAGAAAAAAACAGTTTTTTTTACTTTGAATAAA